AATAATAATAATAATAATAATAATAATAATAATAACCTGCTTTTCTCCTCAAAAGGACCCAAGGCGGCTCACGTCATTAAAAAGGCAATATATAAATTAAATCAAAAGCCACTGAGAGGTCCAGCAGAACCAACCCCTTGTCTAGTTCCCAGTGTAGGTCACCCACCAAGGTGACCAAAGCAGTCTCTGTCCCAAATAAATTCTTATTTGAATAATTATACTATACAGTGATGGTGTTAATTATAATACTGCTTGAGACATAATAACAATAGAAAGTTATCAAGTTGATTTTGAATTCTGGTGACCCTTTCTCGGAGTTTCCAGGGTACTCAGATGTGGTTTACCCATCCCTTTTGCTAGGGGTACTCTGGGTATATGTGGTTCATAAAAATATCATTAAAAAGTTGATGCCAACTTTTTCAGGTAAATAAAAATAAACATTAATATTGGTATATTTTCAGTGGTTTGCTCCCATGTCTGTTAGTCTGTTAGCATGGTCAAAATCAGATCTTTAATTATCTTCCTCCATCAGTATGTAAATGCTTAAAAGCTGAGATTTGTTTTTGTTGTGTCAGAATACTTCTCATTGTTGCCTCCAGTTAGAAATAGAATATTTTGCTATTAGGAGTATAAAAAGATTGTTCTGTGATGATACAACAAGAATTGTTTTTCTTTGTATAAGAAAAGGGTTGGCGGACCTTTAAAATGTCCCAAAGTCAAAGAGCCCAAAGATTTTACACAGTGTATAGCTAAAATGAAAAAAAACCTAATCAATATTGACTACTGCAAATGAAACTACATGTTATGTTGTTTAACATAATAATATTAGCACAGAATAGTCATCTAATTTAATATTCACTTGATACAAAAAAGTTAACACAATAACTCTCACAGCATTAGTCCTTTGGAATGTGTAATTATTAAAAAAAGCTTATTCACAGAAAGTTAATTAATATTTTGGGTCTTTAATCAAAAGGAGAAATGTATACCTACGAGAGCCTTCTCCACTCTGTTTTTGGATGATGTGACAGACTTTCATTTCTAGATGTGGTGACATGGTCATTTCTGCCTGCCTTGGAATATGGTACACAAAAGCTTTCGGTTCCATTCTAAAGCCATTTTGTCACTACCACAAGGTTCTATGCTTCTTCTCTTTCTCATCACTAATGGAGTATGAAATGCATTTTTAACATGCATTTTTGAATTAAGATGAATATTTGTGTACATATTCATACCTATTACCGCATGTAAAGGATACTAAGGTCACTGAATACAATCGGTTTTGTCTATCCAGTAGGTCACACTCATAATTTGAATTATGTAAATATCTTCGTGGTTGCTTCTGCTGTGGATCTTGAATGAGAAGTTTTGTGGATTCCCTACTCCTTGTATCATTATAGATACCAACAAGAGAGCAAAACTGCCGAAAACTAGTCTCTGAAGCTTGCTAACATTTTGGACAACACTCAGTCCCTCAGTCCTTGCCACAAAATTCTGGGAGTTCTACTTCAAAAATGCAACACTTCCAATCTTACTTTCTTGCTATTACTATTTCTTGCATTATTTTTATATTTTAGTATATTATTTAATTTATACATCACCTTTTTCCCTGTGGAGTGATTCAAGATGACTTACAAATAGTTTAAAATATATAGCTATTGAAACAATTGCGCATATAAAAATATTTAAAACAAATTATACGTATTTATTATTAAAAGGCAAAAAATTAAAATCCTCCTAAAACCAGTTTTAAATCACACATTTTAAAGAGATAAAAGAAAAATTTTATCCTAAAAAATTCCTTCCTTAGCTGCCGTTTACATATTAAATTTTGCCAGAAAGGAAAGGCCAATGGAACGAGAGAAGGGAGGGGGCCAAACTTCCTGTCAAAGCGCCGGGGAGCCACTATTAAGAAAGCTCTCCCCCATGTCTACACCAACCATGCGGTGAGACTGGGAGAAAAGCCTCCCCCAGATATCCTACAGGCCAAAGAGGCTGATACAAAACTTTAATGGCCAAATAAATAAACTATATCTTTATCTTACATTTAGTAAAATGCTAGCACCGAGACGACAGTCAGTACAGATCTTTAAAAAGGAGCTCACCAAAAAAGCAAAGAATTCAAGAAGTCATCCATTCAATCTGAGTCTTTTTATCATGTCAAGATTCTTATTAGAGTAACTCAAGAACTTCATTTCATTTAAAAAAACTTTAGAGGGAAAACAACATTGACTTCAAAAGTTCTTAAACTTCCAATTTTAGCAACAAAGCCAGTGTCATCAGCTGATGTTATTTATAAGACTAAAACCAGGGATGCATTTGACCTGCCACAATTACCTTTGGCATTAATTCCCTTATCCACAGATAGAAATTAGGTCATTTCACATCTATCTGTGCTTAATAAGATAGCTATCTTTATAAGATATCTACCAACATTGAGGCCTTAAATCAGGCAAAATATGGCACAATATATTAAGCATTCACAGTGCACCATCCAGCTTCATTCCTTGGGTTCATTTTCAGATTATTACTATTTATTTTGTTCCATAGAAACATGATTCTTACCTTAAAAAATACAGCAGCCATTTCATAAATTATTTCCAGTGTTTAGAAAATGTTTTTTTAAAAAATTGTTCTGGAACTGGAAGATGAGGTTACCTTCAGTTCACAGAATGGACGTGTCAAGGCTATTTCAAATGTTTAATGCCTTTCAAACTGGTGGCAGTGCTGTAATCTATTTTATTAATGATTACTGACCATATTTCTACTGAACATTAGATGATGATGATAATGATGTTGAGCTCAGCATACAAGGCAATATGCAGAGCCCTTGTCTATTGTATTGGTTACCACATCAACTATCACCTTCATGTATTGGCTCTAAATGCAGACACAACTCGCACTTTTATGGCTGTCATTTTGAAATAACTTCACTAGAAGTTGGGCATATATATAACCCACATATGGTGATTCAGTAGTATTACTCAATCAGCATATGATTCTGGTCAGCTGAGAAAGTCTGCTGAGAATCCACATACTCCTGCAACATATGCAGCCATAAGAAAATACAAAGCTAACACAGGCTGCAGAACATTTAAAAACGTGGTCTCATAATTTTACCCTTATGACTTAACATTATATAACTAAGGACACAACTTTTTGGAAAGGTATAGAGAAGGCATAAAGTATATACAAATCCTTGAAAGGTAAATTATCCACAAACTTAAATTGTTTGATTTTATTACTTAGTTATTTGGTATTTGAAGATTCACTGTGTTAATTAATCTCTGCAGAAAAGTATTGTTTGATTGGCATTGAATGAAAGGACATCAAAGTCTCATTCATTTAACCACGGCATCAAATAGAGATTTTTCAATAATTGATGAGCAGGTGTGCTCAAACCAGCTATTTGGAATCTCAAACAATTCCAAGAATGAACAACTCTTGTTTTAATACTTTTGTCCCTCCTCCGCCTCCTGCTGCCTATATTCCAAATTGGTATCCACAGAAGGATGTGAACATTTGAAGCCTGCTTGGATTATGGTGCTCTTTTATTACATCCATGTGCTACAAATGAGAAGACACCCGGGGAGGCACTCTAGCTCATTGTCAAGGATCCGTACTTTGTGTACAGAAGCTGGACCACTTTAGGTCTTACTTCTCAAGTTATGGCTGGAATTTTTGGCCCCTTAAACGCCAGTCTGCCCACATCAGTGTAAACAACACTAAGATGGACGAATGAGTTGACTCAGTAAGCAACTTCCTGTGCTCCTGTTCATGTGGGGAGAATCTGAGTAACAAACCTCCATAAAACCCAGAGCCACCCAATTAAGCTGACACATGAAGGGAGATTCATGGCCAATGAAAGGAAGTGCTTCATCCAGGGCACAGAATTCCTTCTGACAAGACATGGCAATGACTGAGTTAAATCGCTTTAAAAGAGGATTAGTTACATTTACAGAAGATATAGCATGTGTTGGGAAGGGATACTTATAGATTACCTCTAGTATTGAAGATAGCGTTGCTGTCAATGCCTGTTGCCAAGATAAAATAGCAAGAGAGGGTTAGTGCTGCCATGTCTTGCTTCTGGGACTCCCATGGACTTGCCACTGTAAAGAAACAGGATACGGAACTAGATAGGCATTTGGCCTGATAACAGGGCAACGTCTTGCATTCTAACATGACAAACAGAGGACAATCTAGATTCAGTTTAAAAACCTTCAGTTTTAAGGCCCAGAAGACCTGTAACTAGCAGTTTTGGTGCTCAGGGCCCTGCTGCCCTATTGGTTAAGCCTGAGTTAAGTGAAATTAGCATGTGTAGGGAGAAGAGGAGGAATGGGGAGGACCACTTAAGTCTGAGCATAGGATGACTATTATGGTTCTGTGCTCAGTCTGTCTGTTTTGTGTTTCCTTCTGCTTGTGGAGGAATGGCAGTAGCTGAAACGTACGTTCGGGACAGGCAGGTTAATGCCTTTCCAGCAGAAAATACTAGCAGCTGGGTTTGTATCCTTCCAGCAGTCAATGTCTGCATGCTTTAAATTATGTACCCTGGTTCAATATCTCAGTTGCCCTACCACTGTTACAGCTGTGAGTTGTAGTGCTGGAAAAGTACTCAACATTTCTGACTAAGTGGCCCTATCTGAGAATGTTGAATTGCTGTTTGCAAAGATGCTGCAGGGCTCAAAGTTGTGGGGAAAGGTACAATCATCTTCAAACATGCTTATAATCTCCCTTCAGATCTCCCTGGTCAATCTGAGATAGCTGAGAGTAGATGGTGAAAAGAGTATACTATCCCTTTCTGGATATATCAATAAAGCTAAGACAGCTTTGTAGACTCATATAAGTTTTTCCTCAGGTGTTGGTGTTTCAAGAAGCCATTTCATGATATTGCTTGTCTGCCCTGCATAAGTAACATGGCAAACATGACTAAGAGATAAAGACTTTTAAAATACCTTGTGCAATAGTAGAGAGATGGTGTTTTGTAATGCTTGTGAATTACATAAAGGAGAAGGACAGATCTGTGTGAATGATGGTGCCGATTAGAGTAGGCTTTGAGCTCCTTCCTCCGTCTATTTTCTTAGCAGAGCCTTGGAGCAGTCTGGCTCTAACATTGTACAAGGTATTCTCAAGTCACTTCAAAACAACAACATCTGAGTGCCTCTCAGCAGAGAAACTGCAGTAGCGCTGACTGATTCTTCACTTGTCTTTGCAGAATCATGTCAAAATGAAATCCAAACTGCTATTGCCACTCTGATGCTTCTGTTTTCTCCTGTCTAAAACCTGTGCAAGAGCAAAAAAAGGCACCTGAGAGCAGAGTAAAAGCAATGTATGCATGAATGAGAAAATCCAGCATATTTATTAGATTAACACAGAGAAAGAAAGAGAAACTTGATTGTATTCTTTATATCAAAAAACACTGAGGGCTGAAGCAACAAAGAGTCTTCTGGCATCTTTCAGTGTTATTTGGCTTGTGCTTCTGGGAACTATAGCCCAGTTCTTCATATGTATCGGTATTTGTTCTGCCAAATAAAGCTTGTTAGTTAAAGGCACCACAAGACTATGCTATTTTTGCTGCAACTGATTCACATGGCTACCTCCTTGAAAGGTTTTCATTCATGCAGTAGCTGAGTCACATGATATTCAAGTCATTATGGTTCTTCCATATCACCAAATAAGGGGGGGGGAACCACTCTTTTCTACAATCTCAGTCTCAAAATAGAGGATACAACTTGGTTAAATGGTTGACATAATTCTATTCTCCGAGAAGGTTTAGATTTTGGGCATACATAACTAGTGATAGAATTACTACAGAATTCTAAAAACTAGAATGAAATAGACAGTGCCTAGGAGATACTGTGGCTCTGTTCAAGTGTTTCTGAAGCATGTTATTATAAATACTGTATACAAAGAGGGGAATGGACTAGTCCCCCCCCTCTTTCACCACTTCATTCTCATCATGTCTGAAGAAAAGAACCCATGGAGCTTCACCACATAAACAAGAACATGGGAAAATATGGGGCTTTGCTTATGTGAAAAGTCTCCATGGGCATAAAAGATGCTTTTCTCTTCAGAAATGTCACTTTTCCTCAAGCAAAGCAACAACAGAGATGAGGGAAGAGGCTGCATGCTCCACTCCTTGCATGTTTAAAGATGACCTGGGATCTCATCCTCTTTTAAATCATAAAACCTGTCAGCATTCTAGAGTAGGCCAAACACATGGGACAGAATGTTGGGGTTGGAAACCTTATATTGCTCCTTTTCTACACTTGCCTCAGATTAGAAAAGGTTTGGAAATTTTTGTTGGCAGCCAGGAATAGATACATTTCACTAAACAGACAAAGTTAGAAATGAACACATTAATTGGGAGGCAGTAATTACGAATGCAATTGCTGCTGCAGACACAAGTTTATGGGACATTAATATTACACAGCAAATCATGTCAAGAACTCTTAGTATCTGGATAACAGTTTAGGCATTTTTAAAAATCCCATGTGTACATAAAACCAAACAACAACAATTGCTAGCATGATTTGCAAAAACAGTACCAAATTAATGAAGTGGCTGGGGTAAAAATTGCACTACACAGAAAGCACACACTATATATATATGTATATGTATATATATATACTGCACTACACAGAAAGCACACACACTATATATATATATATGTATTTTTAAAAAAATTAGGTGACTGTGTGCTCAGTAATCCACATCTGCTAATCTGCTTTGTAGAATGTTTATGCGTGAACAGATTGCCAACTGGCTAAAACAAGTCTTCCAGCAGAAACTTGAACAAAACAGAACAGATGCTTCTCTAAGAGTGCTGGAGCTTGGCCTCAGCGATTCGTATTGCCAAATCTACTGTTCTATTTTTTAAAAAATAATCATTTTATTTTATCTTATGACTTGAAATAATTTATGGTAATAATGAAGGCCACACACTGAAATTGGATATAGAGACAAATTCGGTTTCATCATAAATGTACATATCAGATCTCCCAGAATTTGTGGGTATTTCACAATATGTGCGTTGGTATATATATGCCTAATACGGAATTAGATTGAATTGGATGTAAGAAAGAAAAGGGATAATCTCCCACAGTTGAATAACAAAATCCAGTTTCAACATCCACAACAGCCACAAATTAGTGAACCATCTCTAATGCTGTGAAAGGATGTGTAACAAGAATTTTGGGTAAGAAGGCACAGTTAGAAATGATCTACATTTTGTTGATTTCAGCTACAGTTCTAACATAAAAAAATGGAAGAATAATTTGCCTCAAGCAGTCTAAGAATGGCTAAATAAGACATAAAACATATGAAGGTTATTAGACTTAACCTATATTATATGGTTCAGAAAAGGAAAAATCAAATCTAATAGAAGACATTAGTCAGCTTCGTTCTGGTCTCAGTATACTGCCTGAAAGAGATACTCAGATGAAAGCTGTATTTTCCTCTGTTGCATCCAAAGAACCATAGGCCTTCTTTTCCAATCCTAATGTGATGATCTACCTGTACTCCAAGCTCAGCAACACATGAGTGAAATAGTTTGCTGGGAACACCATTATATACTGACATACCTGTCTATTCCTGCCTACTTTCAATGCTGCTGAATTGCTTCAAGAGGAGTCAGCAGTTTACAGACTGAATGACAGGGAAAATGGATTGTCTAGTGCAATGGTCCCCAACCTTGGGCCTCCAGATGTTCTTGGACTACAACACCCAGAAGCCTTCACCACCACCTCTGCTGCCCAGGATTTCTGGGAGTTGAAGTCCAAGAACATCTGGAGGCCCAAGGTTGGGGATTGCTGGTCTAGTGGGAATATCTGTGAATCCCCTTTATGTCTCATAAATGCACCCACCCATCCAGGCAGAATAAACTCAAGACTGTAGGTATATGCAGGACAGTTTGTGTATGCTTTAATTCTGCCAGAGCTCCACAAATATACTTACAGAATTCAGCATCCTGAGAATCTCAGTGTTGACTGATTTTTTTTTAAACAACAGATTTTTATAATTTAATTCATTACAAAAATAAATGTGGTGAGTAAATACTGAGCTCTGAGAAGTAATTGAATAGTAGTTGGTAAAAGGCAGATAAAGGGAAAGAGATACAGCCTGTGCTGGATGCAGTTGCATTTCTTCTAAAAACACAGATTTGCAGCTTGGGAGTGCTCCTGGTTTTGTCTCTTGAGTCTGGAGGCCCAAGTTTCAGTGGTGGTCAGGAGAGCCTTTGCACAGTTAAAGCTAAAATACCAGTAGCGCCTGTTCCTGCAGAGGTCTGATCTAGCTATGACACACTCTTATGTGGGGCAGCCTATGTAAAGTGTTTGGAAACTTCAATGAATCCATAATACAGCAGCCAGATTGTTAACTGGAGCTAGTTACAGCTCTTTCCAGATTCTGGAACTCCCTTCTGTTGGATGCCAGTCTTTGCTAGCTGTCCACAAGCACGCAAATGCCTTTTTCTTCAGGAATGTTTGCCCTTAACTGACTGGCTACTTGGGTGGGGTTATAAATGGATGGTGATGCCTTACTGCTTTGAATGTGTTTTTAGTGTTGCTTTAGTTTACCATATTTTAATGTGGCATTGTTTTGTCCTTTTTAACTATATGTATACTTACTGATTTTAGCTTTAAATAATGTATTTAAATGACATAAGCAACCCTGGATCCTTTTTAAGGAGAAAGGTGTGGTAAAGATATAAACAAAGGAAGAAAGAAATGAGATTTGATGCCTTTACACAGCTACTGTACATGCCTCTCCTGATTAGAAAAGATTACAAATACAAAAAAAGGAAAAGAAAAGAAAGGGAAAAAGAAAGATTATGAACATAATATTCCCAGATTTTTGTAAGTTGTTGGATCTAGCTTTTCCAGATATAGAATGTCTGCCTTTCTTTTTGTTTTCATTGTGGAGTACAGACTACAGGAAACTGCTGATCCTTGCAGAGAGACAGTTACTTAGGAGTAATTAGTTTAATCAATTGAGTATTTTCAGAAGGATCTCCCAGAAGGGAGAGGTGTCCCTGAAGAACAACAGAAAACATATCTGGTTGTTATACTGTTGTACATGGAAGAATTAGGCCTGTGGCATTTCCAGAGCTTGA